GGCACCTACCAACTGGAAGACAACAACGGCAATGTTCTCAACAACACTTGGAACATTGAACAGCTACGTCGTTTTTTTCCTTAAATTCGGTCTAAATACTTTCGCTAAAAACACATGCTCCTGTAAGAGCGCCCCCGCCCGAACGCTTTCAACCCAGGTCGCTCGGGGGCTCCATAAGTGTACAAATATCGAGTATTTCCTATCTTTCTCTTTACTATCACATGGTATACAACTTTCTCCCCGAACGAAAACGCATTCCATTCCTTTGATTACCCTACGTAACCCTATTCTTACTCCCAGACCGAACGCACCCCGCCTTTCCCTACGGATACAAACAACCGAGCCTCGCGAGCCACGCCCCGGGCTCCCAAAATCGCACCTTATGGGACAAACCACCAGGGACCCGCCCGCTCCGCTCCTCCGACTTCGGCGAACGCAATAGATACCTCCAGGGCACCACACCTATAGATGCTCAGCAGAAGAACATGGAGCTCTTGACCTTCTCATGCAGTCGAGGCAGCTTCTGGGTAGGGGGCGTCATTTCGAGGTATGGTCGCCATAGCATCAAACTTTATGAACTGACCGACTTGAGCAGCTGTAGGCACGAAACCCTCCACCGGCACAATCATGAGTAACTTCCCCTCCGACGAAGCTCGCTCGATAAAAATCCACCGGAGAAAACCTACACGCGGCTCCATCCCGAAGAAAGCCTCGCAGATCAGATCCAGCATCAACTCCAGTCTGACATCATGCTCCGGGTTCACAAAAGGATCTGTAAGTCCTCCCCCTCTCTCTCTCTCTCTCACTTAGGAACCGTCGTGGCATACAGGCACTCTTGGTGAGAAGCAAGGAGGAAGAGAGACGATAGTTGGAGAACAGGCAAAGGACTACAACGGAGAGCCCTCCCCCTCCCCCATTTAAAGAAGAAAAGCAGATGATCAGAGCACGAGACTCTGCCCCCATTCAATGCGGATGGGAAACGACGGGACATGCCTTGGCCGAGGGGATGCACACTGACTGACGGAGCAACGCCGGGTCAGACGGAACGTCGCCTGGCAAAAAAATAAACGTGGCCCGGGTATGGCCCACCACTATCGCACGACCAGGTGCGAGAACCAAAGCGTCACCACACGTGAGCAGCTCCCCGCTTCCCCAGGCCAGACCTGGGGGAGACCAAAAAACAAAATCTCCGCCAGAGACCAACCGCCCCGAGTCGATCGAATCGCTCAGTATCCACACCGAGACACAAGTAGGAAGTGAAGGGACGCCCCCATGCGGGCCATGCCGACTCCGTCCCGGGCGACGAAGCACGGGTCCCGGTCGAATGTTTCCGACTGAAGCTCTCCGAGCCCCATCACTCCAGTCGCCAAGGTAAACATTACCAAAACCCCCTCTATTTCTTTATAATCATTCATACATCCATACGCGCATTCATTTCATACGCCCGCACCTCCCGGACGATTCGGGCCCTGAATCGCCCGGGGGCTCGGGAACTAAGCATCGCACGTATAGCAAAATGTACCAGAACGCTCCGTGTTGCATCACGAAGCGGCGGTTGCCTCATTCGACATGGGCAACCAACAGAGCCAGGGGAGAATACCATAGATGAGCACCGTGCGGCCCTAGCCAGGTCCGGCAGACCGGGTCATCTCAACCTTCTCGTTTGATCCTAAACCTCTCGCTAGGCCCACAGAATCCCCATCGAGGGGAGGCAATTAGGCCACCCGGGTCAATCTCCGGAATGACCTAGGCATCTGTCGGGTTGCAGGTAAAGGAGTAGTGGAATGTCACAAGAGGGCTATGCCGACCCCATCACGAACGACGGACCCGGATTCCACTCGATCACACCCGTTAGCGAACTCACCGAGCTAGTCTTTGAGCCCGAGCGATCGGGACAGGCGACGAAACTCAGCCCCTCCGGTTGTGAGGAACCGAGGATGGGGTAACGCACAATACTCACATCGACCCCCACGAAAGGCCCGATAGGGCTCGGGGCTCAAGAAAAACACCAAGGACAGCGACCTCGAACTCGCCAGATCCACGACTCTGACTCGCCCGGTCCCATGGCGCGCACCGATGCCAGGGTCCACGAGCATCGCCTCGTCCGATCTTTAACCAACTAACTACGCTTCGGCTTCAAAACGGCTTCAGACGGCTTCACTGCGCTCCAAGAAACCTCGGGACCACGACCCCAAACTCGCGTCGATAGGATCTATGACATCCGGCTACGGCTCTTGGGACCGTGACCCCAAACTCGCGTCGACAGGATCTATGACATCGGCTACGGCTCTTGGGACCGCGACCTCGAACTCGCGTCGACAAGATCTATGACATCCGGCTATGGCTCTTGGGACCGCAACCCCGAACTCGCGTCGACAGGATCTATGACATCCGGCTACGGCTCTTGGGACCGTGACCCCGAACTCGCGTCGACAGGATCTATGACATCCGGCTATGGCTCCTAGGACCGCGACTCCTTAACTCGCGTAATGGCTTCAACACGGCTTCACTTCCGACTGTGCTCCCAGGGTTCGCGAGCTCTGGCTCGTCTGACTCTTGAACTAACCAAACTAACTCTCTCCATCCATGGCGTGCACCGACGCCAGGGCTTTTTTCCGAACTAAAAACCTATCACTCGATCCACGGCGTGCACCGACGCCGGGGTCAGTAAGCTCTGTCTCATTTCCGCGCCTAGAAACCGCCTCGTCTGCGCAACGACGCCGTGGTTAAACAAAATTCCGTCTCGAACTAAAAACACGCACACACGCCCGGTGAAACAACACCCCCTGCCGGTTCTACCCGAACCACCCGGGGCTAAGGAGCTACACCCATGAGTGCGCTTCAGCAGCACCGCCGACAACACAGAAAACCCCCCCCGTTTCGGTTCGCCGAACCGCCCGGGGCTAGGGGCTACACCATGAGTGCGCTTCGCGCGCGAACCCACCGTCAAGACAAAAAATCCCGCGGACGATTCTGCTCAAATCGCTCGGGGGCTCGGGAGCTCCTGTCAGGTTCATAAACCTGGGGTCCCTCGGGGACAGGCTTCAACGCCAGGGCTCGGCCTAGGAAAACAACATGTAGTCCATGGGCCGACCCAAATAGTCTATAAACACGGCAGGTCGAAAGAACAGCGCGGTCGCCGACCGGAAGGTCTGCCCGAAAGAACGAACGCCCGCTCATCAACTTCTTCGGCCCACCTCCGACCGGAGCGCTCGCTTCGAGCACCAGCCGCCTCCAGACGGTCTCTCCGATCAGAAGTCCTGACCCAAAACGCTGCTTCCTACCCCAACCCCGCGACTCCGACCGGGAACCTATAGGAAGCCTGCGCACCGCTCTTCTCCGACTGGCACGACCAGGGCCGACTGGAGCCATCCGACCAGGGACGCCCGCTCAGAAGGGACCAGGGGCGAACGGAGAAGGCAGCGCACTAAGTCAAACCACGATACCGGGACCATACCCTGTACGCCTGCGGAAACAGTGCTCCACGACCGCCTTGACACAAGCAGTATTGACATTTGTGTCTACAGTATTGCAGGCGTCGTTGGGCTCCCATACGGCAAAAGGCCCCCCATGCCTCTGGGCATCGATAGGGGACGCCAGGATCCACCATACCTGATACACGTGGTGGGGCTCCTCACACACCAACAGTATTTTGCAGGTACCAATGTCCACCCTTCCTGAAGAAGCCACCGCAACCTCCCACATGCACCTGACATTCTACAGCAACATCTACAGTATTGTGGACGCCTACCATTATCCACTCCTCATCGGCATGGGCATCAAGACTTAGTAAACATCCGTACTCTCTCATTTTCATCTGTAAAGCCATCCCCTTCTTCTATAAAAGGGGATGTGCTCCCTCCAACAGGAGGACGATCTTCTTCGAATTTAGATTCACTAGACCGATAGCTCGCAACCTCTCAAGCACACGCTTGAATACCTAGTTCATAGCGGAGTTACAGTCGCTCTCGGCCCTTCCGGTCGGACCCGACCAGACATCTCGTACACCCCTCATTTCTCCTTCTCGTTTGTAACCCCACTACAGACTTCGAGCAACTAGGCTCAGGAATAAAGTCACCGACCGACTCAGACTGGGCGTAGGGCACGTTGCCTGAACCAGTATATATTCTGTGTCATTGAGTGCTAGGCCACCTCCGATCACAACGTACAGCAAAACTACAAATATTCACTAGTTGGTCACTTTCTGTACCGACAATATCCGTGATGCATATTTGGTCTGGTTAGATGGATTGGACGAACCATTTTTTTCTGTTTGGTTGGATGGATGAAAGTGGATGGGATGAGAATAGTTGACTAACTATATCTATTATTTAAAAAAATAACAACTAATTAGACACTAATAGATATGCACTAATACTAATTTTGTCATGATAATCACTAATTTAAAATAAAACATATTAATTAGCACCACTAATATCCTAATTAGCACACAAAACATGCACTAATTAATGTGTTAGCACTTATCAAAACTAATCCTATCATCATAATTACTAAGTAATAATATAACATACTAATAATCTTTAATTCATTTACTAATGAAGATAAGATATGGATAAGCTAGTCTGCTAGATTTTTTCGGACCAAGAAATCCACCATCTAGAGGTATATTCTTTATCTATGGATTTGCTCGTCCCAGTGATTCATCCAACCAAATATTATATATTCTATCCCTTCCATGGATATCAAGCAACCAAACGTGCAAGGCTTTGCGTACACCGCCTGTCAGTGTTTGATGTAGAACGAGATACCGGTTGCTTCCTATAATCCGGAAACCAGGCTATACCTTACCATGATCAGGCCAACATTCTCTTATCACATAGCTCAAAATGTCCACAGGGAACCATCCTAGGATGAATGCAAGTCAAGAAAGAGAATCAATCAAGGACGTAGCAAAAGAATACTTGCAGAGGGCCACAATGCACGTTGAACAATGGTTCTTCCACTTTGCTCCTGAAGGTGAAGAATTACTGGATTTTATTTTATGAATTCTCAGGAAAGATCGTCTGAATGAATTTCAGGAAGCGCTCTGAGTAGAATTGGGTTCCACGACAGATATTGACAATTGAGTTATATTGGATGGACTTGTAAGCATGCTCAATCTTCTTCCTTATGTTGTACTCCTGCAAGATATCAATTATATTGTGAAACGACATCTATACACAAACGGACGTCTACAGACGAACAGGCGTCTCTTCACGAGTGATCTCATCCATCAAGCACAGGATCAGTGGATAGGATTAGACAGTTAATTTTAGTTTCAAAGGGCGTGTCTTTTGGGAACAGTCGTGTCCCTTCGTGACACCCCTCCACTTGTATAAATATATTTCCGAGATCAATAAAAGCAACAGTTCTCCCAAATCTTGTTCATTTCCATTCACGCTTTAACAAATTATTCCCAGGTAGAGCACATCATACACCTGACCATTGGCCTCACTGTCATTATCCTGAACCATCTGTTCTGCCCTCGCCGGCATGTTAACCCCAAGTTGGATCTGGAGCCTGATAAAATTGATAATTTCTAGTGAGCCTTACACTGCGCTGGCATTTAACATACAACAAATCATGGGAACATGCATATAACGACAGTATAACTCGCCTTGTGGTGCCTGGAAGCAAGAGATCTACTTCCTCAAAACTGACGGGCTCCCCTTATATGAGAACCAATGACAGCATCATTTTGATCACTAGCTCGCTGAACCAAAACCAGCCCTTCAGGACTGTTCAAAGCATCTCCTCCAGAGCACCTATATTGCTTCATACAATGTTAATAATAGGTAAAAGAAACGTTGCTGGAGGAAAAGGCTCTTGCAAAAAAGAATTTTTTTTATAGGATTGCACATAGGATTAGTTACATTACAACAAAGCAAAGTTACGCAATCGGACTGTTTACATAGATAACATGGGTTTTGATGTTGACTGGACTTGGTGGCAAAAGGTTCCTCAATGTAGAGCATACTAAAAAATTCTAGGACCCTAGGTGATAAAGGGCCCTTCCTGTACAGCCGTGTTTCTGTAGCTATAAGATGGAGAAGATTGTACATGGAATCAATACTACGAGCATGCTTTTCCAGGAAAACTCCAGCGCAATCATGTTGTTGTAGAAGACTTCCGCAGAGTCTTGATCATAAATCGATCATCCTGTGATAGGAAGAAGACACTTCCACTCTTTCCAGGAGAAGATAGCTCCCTAAGTGTGTCACTTCCACAAATGGAAATCATGTAATCCGCTGCATCAATCTTGAACATCTCCCTCAAATTTCTACACAGATACACAAGTAGATCTTATTAAGTTCTGAAATACACAGCAGTACCGGTAGAGTCACTTGTCAGGTGCCCAAACAAGGAAGCATTCTCATTGTTATGGTCCTAACTAAGTTACTTTAATTTTTTTCTAAGAAAAAGACTATATTGTTTATGATCACTATAAGTTATTCTCATATAATCTGTAGAGCCTCATGTTCTTTTCACTGAATTTGCTTAGGTTCGCAGTAGTCTTTCCATTTAAAATTATCAGCATGATGTGAAGGAGTAAGCCGTGATCCATTTTTTGGGAAGTTCATCCAGAAACTTGCTCTGGGACCATAATCAGAAGCTCGCATTGCACGTCTCTGAATAGGTGTAATCTTTCCAACTGTATACCTGAGTATAAATGTATAATCACATTAAAACCTTCAGTGGTCACAAAATCATTCCGTTAGATATTTCAATAAGACAATGCCCTGTTGATAATGAATATATTAGAACATTCTGATACATTTTCTATACCATCGAGAAACAAACTCCAGAATGTCAATAACAGTGAAATTTTGTCAGACTTGGAGCTTCCCTTAGTGCTTTAATTGTCCTTACTATAACCAACTATACGCTTAACTATCATTCCAATTCCTATTATGAACTCCTAAAAAATCACATTCTAAACAGCATTGCACTTCAAGAACTATAGAAATGTATTGCTCTTCTTCTTCTTTTTTCTCTAAAACACACAGGTGATCTGTGTTATCATTTCCTTAAGAAGAAAGGGAAAGTACATAGGGGAGGAAGAAAAGAACTCCCCACCTTCAAGGCTCCAACACACCCAAAGGCCAAGACACACACAATGACACAACCAACACACCCAGAACCAGACTATCAGCCAGCAAACAGAGAAGGGGACCAAAAAGGACTACAAAAAAGAACAGAGGATCAAAAATGTGTAGTATTTTTTTTATAATTTTGAGCACACAAGTTTCGGTCTTAGAAATTTATTGTACTCCTATTCATCAAGCGAATTTATATACTGCTATAAATTTGCAACCACTAGTACTCCCATAACAACCAGGTGTGTTTTCAATATTTTTGCACCAAGATTCAAGAGCTATGAGTTCAGAGATGATTTGTACTTACTATGCTCTAAACCAGTAGCTCGAACTTGTAATCCAGACATAGATGAGAGGACTGCAAGAAAAGAACAAGCAGAATGAAGCATGATAAACATATAGTAAAGGTTGATAACTGCAATTTTGCTCAACATGAGTCGCAATCAAAAAGATTGTTGTGGTAGTATCCAATGATTTCAAGTCGTCCGATTAATCGCGATTAATCGCGATTAATCGTCCTAATCGGTCCTGGGTGCTCGATTAGGGACCTCGACCCGATTAGCTCGATTAGGGGCCTGGTCGTCCGACTAATCGTCGCCTAATCGCGATTAGTCGTCCGATTAGGGGTGGGACGACTAGTTTTGGCTGTTTTGACACCATCACGTAAACGTGAAGCGTGCCTTGTGGTGCTGGCTGGCGAGCGTGGAGGGATAAGGGTTTTGGTGATAGCGACAAAAATTCACGGAAATTAACAGCCGCCGCTGCATGCCAGGTTTCGCTGACTTCATGATCGCGCCCGCCTCTGCTCCGCCGGTGGCGGCGCCCTGCTGCCGCTGCTCTGCGCTGGCGGCCCTCTGCTCGGGCGGTCCCGCCGCGCCCTCTGCTCCATGGTGGCCAGCCATGACCCTCTGCATCTGCTCCGCCGGCGTATCATGCATGATCCGCTCGCCCTCTGCTCCATGGTGGTGGCCATCTGCGCTCTGCGCCCGCCCGCCCTCATTCCTCTCAGGTGCACAGTCGCTCGCCCCCTGCCAGTGTCTGCTCCCGCCGCTGCCATCTCCTCCCGCCGCCCTCTGCTCCAGCATGATCTATTCCCTTGTTGCACGCCTCCCTGCTGCTCAGTCCTTCCTCTCATCCCTGCTCCTCGCCTCTCATCTCTACTCCTCTGATTTGGATGCTTCATGTTCTCTCAGGGGTCAGGGGCTCAGAGTTAGAGCTGCATTCCTCTGATTTGAAGGCCTGAAGGTGCCGGCCCTCTGCTCGTTGGTGATGAGCTGCTCTGACGACTGTATGTCCATTTTCCCTCCCCATCTGCTCTCCTGACCTACATGGCTGCATCCTCTCTGGCTCTGCTAGTAATGCTGCTAACTATCAGCCTTGTGCTTGTACAGCTGTGGAGCGACGACGTGCAAACGTGGAAGTGATAATGCCGATGCCTGACCTTGACGGAGGTGTTCTACATTCATCATCTGGGTCAGGTGCAGCTGCCACGGCTTCCTCAGCTAGTCCAGATGTTGCAACACTAGTTGAGAGGGCTATTGCAAAGCTACCTCCAGAGCTTGCTGCCCAAGCTGTTGACACCAAGAGGAAGGCAAAATCACAAGATCCAGGATGGAAGTATGGGTGGTGGCCAGATGCTTCGAAGAAGGATTTTGTGCAGTGCATATTTTGCAAAAAGATTGTCCCCTCTGGAATAAAAAGATTCAAGCAGCACCTTGCCGGGGGGTATGGAGATGCAGTTGGATGTCCTAGTGCTCCAGAAGTAGTTAAGAAGGAGATGGCTGATTACCTGAAAAAGAACTCAAGAACTATTCTAGCTTTGAATCCTACATTAGGTGAAGATGAAGAGCAACAAGATGATGCTACTGCTGCAGAAGAACCAGCAGTTGTACCAGAACCAAGCTCTGGAACAAAAGTCAAGCAAAAGAAGAGGATTGCTCAGGCTGCCATCTCTTCTTTCACTGTCACTGCTGCACCAAAACCAGCCACTCAAAAAATGTCCAGATCAGTGAGCTCAATGCTTTGCAAGTCACCGGAAGAAGTAGTTGAAGAGAGGCACAGATCCAAGCATAGTCAACCTACACTTGAGCATTGCACAAAGAAAAGTAAGGAGGCCAAAGTAGTTGTTGATGATCATGTTGCAGATTTCTTCTATGAGAATCGCATTCCATTGAAAGTCATTAATTCTAGAAGCTGGGAAGTTTTGATTGAGTCAATTGGACAATACGGCCCTGGGTACCGCTCACCATCATATCATGATATAAGGGTACCACTGCTTGAAAAGGCTGTGAACAGGACATCAGAGTTGAGGAAGAAGCATGAGGAGGCTTGGAAGGAATATGGCTGCACCATAATGTCCGATGGGTGGACTGACACAAGCCATCGCCATCTCATCAATTTCCTTGCTAACAGTCCAGCAGGGACTTTCTTTCTAGGGTCTGTTGATGCTTCAAGTGAGATAGCAAATGGACCATTGTTGGCTGATTTGTTGGAGAAGCAAATAGATAAGGTTGGGAAGGAACATGTGGTACAGATTGTCACTGACAATGGAGCCAACTTCAAGGCTGCAGGGAGGCTTTTAATGGAGAGGATCCCACATCTATTTTGGACACCATGTGCTGCCCATTGCTTGGATTTGTTATTAGAGGACATTGGGAAGATCAAGGAATTCAACACTTGCATCAACATGGCAAAGAAGGTGTGTAGGTTCATGTACAAGCATGGGAGGATTCTAGATCTCATGCGAGATAAGATTGGAGGAGATCTTGTGAGGCCAGCTATAACTCGCTTTGCCACTTCATTTCTCACATTGGCAAGCATGCATAAGAACAAGACTGGATTGAGGAATTTAGTGGTTAGTGAGGAATGGCAAGCTACCAATTTCTCTAGCACTACAGAAGGCCGGCAAGTTGAGAACATTATCCTTTCAATGCCATTTTGGAATAAAGTGGAATTATGCATAAGAGCTACACAGCCACTTCTTGTTGCTCTTAGGATTGCAGATGGAGATGAGACACCTGCGGCTCCTGAGATTATGGCAGCCATGGATCATGCAAAGGCTGCAATCAAGGATTCTTTGAAAGACAAACCAAATTTACTCAAAGAGGTACTAGAATATTTTGACAAGAGATGGGAAAACCAAATGGAGCAGCAGTTGTATGGAGCAGCCCTATACTTGAATCCAAGCAAGTACTTTGCCATAAGGGAAAAAGATAGGAGACAAGCCACAAAGCTGAGAATTATGTTTAATCAAGTTATGTGGAAGATGGTGAGTGATGATGAGGACCAAAACAAGATAAGCAAGCAAGCAGATGACTATGAGAGGTCTGAAGGCCAATCCTTCTCAAAGCCAGGAGCAATAAGAGACAGAGATAGAAAAAATCCTAGTAAGTTCTCCAATCTGAAATTTTGTATAATTATTTCCTTACCTTTTCTGAAAGATATCAGCAATGAACTAATAATGGATTTCTATACTTTGGAATGGAATTTGCAGTTCTTTGGTGGGGTGCATATGGTGGCCTGACATATGAACTTCAATGTTTAGCAAAAAGGATTGTTAGCCTTTGTTGTTCTGCATCTGGATGCGAGCGTAATTGGAGTGAATTTTCTACTGTAAGTGCTATGCTACAGCTATTGTTGTGCTAAGTAATTGAGTATGGTATCTAATTCTGCAATCTTTTGTGTAGATCCATACAAAAAAGAGAAACCGGTTAGAGCACAAAAGGTTAAATAAGTTGGTATATGTCAGCTACAACCGCAAGATGGAAAACAGATTTAAAAACATTAGAGAGCTGGGTTCCAAAGGAAAGCGATCAAATCCACTCTTGCTTGATGAATTTCATTGGGAAAATGAATGGGTCAATGACAATTGTGAACCAGTTCATGAAGGTGCTGCCAATGCTATTACTTGGGCTAATGTGGATGATGCTATTGGTGCAACTCAGGGTCTAGAGGGCCGTAACTTGCCTAGGGCTGCTGCTGCTCGTACTGCTATTCCTGCCCCTGTGAGGCGTACTTATGCTAGGAAGCGTCCAAGGAACACAGTGGCTCAAGATCTTGATGAAATAGATGATGAAGAACAAGATCAGCAAGTAGAATCTGATTCAGCAACACCTATGGATGAGGATGAAGAATCTGCACCACCACCAACAGCAACTGCAGATGGACATGGAGGCTTCCATTTCAATGATGATTTGCTTTATTAGATGGCTACTAGTTCCCTACTTTTGTTGGACTATTGTGTGTTGATGTTTGCGACTTTGTGTTGAACACTTTTGCTTATCTGTACTAAACTAATTTGCTTATCTGTACTAAACTAATTTGGTTATGTAATATGCTGCCCGTGTGGCTGCCATGGTCTGCTAAATGCTAGATATTTGCTACTACAGCAGTGCTGCTATTGATATGTGTCAATAACTCAAGATCAAGACTACATTAGTGTTGCTAATTATGGTGTTCTTTGGTATTGCAGGCTTCCAGCAACAAGTCAGCAAAGGAATGGAGTTTGGGACAGTTGGACAGTGAAGAAAAGGCAAGAAAACAACTCCCACAAGTAAGTCACTTGCTAAACACTAATGTAGTCTCGATGCTTGCTATATTGTGTACACTATATAGTACATATAGGTATATATATAGTGTGTATATGTCCTGATGCATAGGACGATTATATGGACGACCAGGGTCGACTAGGCTCGACTAATCGGCCTGGTCGACGACTAATCACGATTAGTCGCCTGGTCGGTCCTATAGCGACTAGGTTCGACTAGACGACCTGAAAACATTGGTAGTATCTACCTGAGATTGCTGGGGTAAGGACACCATCACCTATACTTTGATTTGATTATGTCTTGTGAGATGAAATGTCTACCACCATCCGTACTGTTCCCCACCACTTGGGACTCATCAGCATTAACAGGCTTTCTGGGAGGTAGATCGAATATTTATCATCAACATCACAATCCGCAAGCCCACCAGATTCATGCCAGAAGAAATAACAAAATATCAGTGAGACACAAGATTCAAAGTATGGTTCAAAGTTCAGAAACTACAGATAGTGTAGTGAAAACAACACTCGAAAAATTATCATCAATCTAACCAGCAAAAGCTAGCAAATAAATGTTAGATACAAAGTGAACTGGACATCCTTCTGCACTTGAATAAGATTGAGATACCTTGCTGGGAGCCTGGGATAGATAGCTGCTGTGAATGAATTGTTGGTGTAGAAGAATCAACTCTCACTAAAAGGGAAAAGAAAAGGAATATCATGTTGGTTAAGTGAACAATGGAATCCAAAACTTCATTGGGCCCACCAACACAAAATAGGCAGCAGACAAGGAAAATGAAACAAACAAACCTGTCCTTAATAAAATAACCTTCGTGTTCCTTATCCGCACCTCTTTCGTCTGGTTTCTTCCTCATGTCGACCACACCAGTACTTTGCTTTGTTTCTGCACTCTCCACAATCTAACAAGAACACAGGCCAACCGATCATTGTCTGACTCTATAGTAGTACATAGCACCCTAAGCCACAATTAAATAATAATGGTTTCATTTAGCTAAGTAACAGAAGTACAATCATCCTTCAAATAGCTAAATATTCATAAGGTTGATTGATAATGAAAATGTGATATACTCAAGTTTCATTTATCAAGCACAAGCATACTACTATACTACTACTGGTGAGAAGTTGTGACTGCATACAAGCAAAACAAGGAGCAAATAAGTTACTTGCCTTTTCTGGAACATCAGATTTTATTGACATGAGGTGGTACTTAAGTTTGAAGGCCTGAATACTCTTCAATTGTTCAGACTTCACAAGTTGGTCCCAAAAAGACTCAGCAACATATTCAATAAGGGGCTCAAGATTTTCCTGTACACAAAAAAAAACATCAAATGACATAGCATGCTGAATCATTTGCAAATAAGCAAACAGCTCTAGTACATACCTTTCTAATGTACTCCGACAGTTCAAGGACCACATATTGTAGCATGCAGTAGAGAAAAAACAACTCAGCCATTGGTATCAACTGTCAATTCATGCAGTTATTGATAATGGCTAGAACAAACAGCAACAGAAGAAGAATTCACATAGACAAAAGGAGAAGGGGAAAGCAATTCAAGCTCAACAGGGAAATGCACTAGTACCAAAATGACAAATAGTACGCGTTACAATTTTCAGAGGTAAATAAATAGAAGTGTCCACTAACATAAAGACATCCAGTAGACGTTACAATTTCCAGAGGTAAATAAATAGAAGGGTTCACTAACATAGAGACATCCTCAATAACAACTTAACACACATCACATGCAAAGTCTGAATTAAAAATAAGACCACAAACAGTTCACAAGGTTAGATTTCAAATAAACTTCTCTCCAAATCAGCCATACATTTGACGAGCAGGGATCCTCCAAAGGTGACCCCTCAAGTGTAGCTCCCACTGAAGGAACACGGGGATCCAAGAAAAACGACCATGAGTGACGCGTTCAGAACCCAAGCTATTGAAATCCTAATCAGCATGGGCGGTAAGAAATCTCTGATAATGCTCCATCCTGTGCGCAGGACGATTCCTGAGAAAGAGTAACAGCTGTAGAGGCCCAATAAGTTCAAGCTCTGGTACAGTTAGTATCTGTCTGCCCACAATACTAATCCTCAAATGACCAAGCATAATCCTTTGATCTCTGCTGAGATTCCTCTGGTTGGGTGCATTCTGAGGAATGACATAGCTTTGTCCACCATTAAAATTAAAGGTCTCCATCAAAAGATCATTACTGTTTACCCATGCCCTCCAATGCAAAAGAGTAAGAGGAAAAGCAGCTCTCATTCTTTGCAGAATATCATGCAGCTCAGCTGGTGGTACAACATTAAAAAGCGTGTCAAAGAACTCCTCGAAGAGACCAGAGTGGTTTGCCATGGAAACCAATGAGGAATGGATAGAAAACAGTGATCTCTCCGCAAAATTATACTGCATAAGATCCAAGAGATCGCCTATGTCATCAGAAACATCATTCACGAACAAGTGAGCAATGACAGTATGGGCATTGGTGTAGTTAAGCCTAAGCTGGTGATCCAGTGCAGGTCCAACTAGATCTGTGATCAAGGCCACACCATGAGACTTAGCTTTCCCAGAGATCTGCTCACCAATAGATTGTTCCACCCAAACTCTCCAAAACATATGCCATGTCTCTCATTCTCCCGGAGAGCATCCAGCAGTGACGACACAAACTTCTTTGCCTTGTCACTGGCAACATAAATGTGCAGACTCTGATCAGTCTCTCCTGGGTAAAAGACAAGGCCATTCTCATCTGCTTGCATATGTGGGAAGGAGTGATCAACCATGAAATTCAACATAACAAACTCATCAAGATCGATGGCATCCTCAATGTGAACAGTGTCCTTACCCAACCGATACTGATCATATGCCAGGTATGACAAAACCGATGCAGTAAGTTTTAATGCAGCAAGAATTTGAACAAACAATCCATAACTGTTGACAACAAATGAAAAAGCAAAACAGCAGATGCATGTTAACTGTTACCATTGGGAATGGGCAGGGGCAGTTGGACTTGGATATCCATATCTTGCGCCTGTCTTAAGAGTGCTAGAGAATAATACAGAGGTACAAACAGAAACATGCTATTTTGCCAACAAAATGACAGAAGAAGACACAAAAATAAGGTTAGAATAATACAATAGGGTGAGGTACAAACAGAAACATGCCATTTTGTCAAACAAAATGACAGAAGAAGACACAAAAATAAGAAGCTTGGTTGCCGAGGTGCAAAAATCACATAGACAAAAGGGTTAATTGTATTGGTGCCATTATAATTCTCGCGTTTCTTAGAAATACCACTACTATTCAGCTTATTGTAAGAGTGCCATTATAATTACACTGGAGTCTGAAAAATGCCATTATGTACACTTGCCGCGATGTTTGGCCCACATGCAGGTGTATACAGGGGTTACGTACATTCGTATGGACCGTGTTACCCCAGATTGTCCATACCTGTGCGCCGGTTTGACTGGATCGACTCAATCCATCCATTCCCCACCGCCTCCTCTCTCTCGCTCAAACCCTAGGTAGTCCGCCTCGGAGGCGATTGCGACCGGCCATGGCGGCGACTATCTTTGCTGCATGGCGGCGATCGCGACTACCTAGAAGCGCCCGGCGTGGACCGCGACTCTCTTCTTGCTCCTTCCCGCCCCATCTCTTTGGCGCTGGCGGCGATCGCGGCCGTGGCGGCGGCGACAACTTCTTTCATGGCGGCGGCCGATCAATCTGAGGGCGCCGGCGTCGACCGCGACTACTGCTGCTCCTTCCCCGCCCCATCTATTAAGCGGAGATGGCATCCACAGCTGCCAGTTCAAGTGCTACAGCAATGGACGACAGCATACCGAGGTATCTGCACACCAACCTTGACTAGCCATCTTTCCCTCCCTCAGCTTGGTAGTGGGACAATTATGTTTAGCAGGCAATGTTTTAATCTACGTAAGAAATTAAGATGAGTATCATATGTATAATTGAATAAGTTACAAACGGTAATAAAACGACCACACCAACCTGTATTGTTTTATTATAAAAAATCCTAGATGCATGAATTCTCCATGGGCACCCTTCGGCAGCACAATGTGCAATGAATCTTGTTGGGTCAGTTTGCAACTTAGCTAACTCGAAACCTTTCTTGACAGCGTAATGTCGAATAGCTTTCCTGAATGTTACTATGTCAGGAAACAATTGTCCCTTGACAATCTTTGGATTTTCAGGATCGTGGAGGACATTTATTTCCTGGGGATCTGCATCATCAATTTCTGCCTCAAGAGGAGCACCTCCATCAGCAACAACAGGATCAGCATTATCAACAGATGGTTGGGCACTGTCAGTGTTGGCTGGGTGTGTAGGTGGTACTGAAATGTAGATGTGCTCATCATCAACCCCAACATACTCCTCTTCATTGTCAAAGATGTCTGACTCCCTATCAGACTCTACGTTCGACTCATCGACAGTATAAGGATTGGCATCAGTAGAAGCTTAGGCATTTGGAATGGGATTAGTAGAAGCTTGGGCATTTGGAATGACATCAGTAGAAGCTTGGGCATTTGGAATGGCAGCAGAAGAAGCATTTACATTTGGAATGGCAGCAGAAGAAGCATTAGTTGCATTTGGAATGGCATCAGTAGAAGCTTGGGCATTTGGAATGGTAGCAGTACAAGCATTAGTTGCATTTGGAATGGCAGAAGCACAAGCATTTGCATCAAGATTGAAATCAGAAGGGTTGACTGCTCCATCATCAGGTGGAATAACACATAAAGGCTCTATCAACTCATACTCAAATGCATCAGCAACAGCATTATCAAAGACTCCTACCAACACACAGCAACATATTTCGGACTTATACATGTCAAATAAATCTATCATCTGAATGTCACTGACTAATCTGACATCTTCTTGCACATTCTTGTCAAAGAACCACACAGATGCAGACTGGTTAGAGGCCCATTTAACTTCATTCTGCAAGCTTTCCATCAACAAGTCTAAAGAAAACGACCCTATCTCGACATTCCACTTAATCACAGAACCTTTGGTGTAAACTTTCATACCCAATGCATCTGTTGTATTGAAACCTTCAACTTTAATCTCTAGCGAGAAGAGGTCGGTCTTAGCAGGAAGCAGATCAAGTCAACGAGTTCTACAACAAATTGCAGTAACAACTAGGGTAACCTAACAACTAGCCTATTCGTCGAGGGAAAGTCATGTCAGATCGAAAATACCTCGGTATGCTGTCGTCCATTGCTGCAGCACTTGAACTGGCAGCTGTGGATGCCATCTCCGCTTAGCAGATAGGGCGGGGAAGGAGCGGCCGTAGTCGCGGTCGACGCCGGCGCCCTCGGTAGTCGTGGTCGCCGCCGCCGCGAGCAGTCGCCTTCGCTCAGCAGATGGGGCGGGGAAGGAGCAGCAGTAGTCGCGGTCTACGCCGGCGCCCTCGGTAGTCGCGGTCGCCGCCGCCGCGAGCAGTAGTCGCCGCCGCCGCTGGTCGCAGTCGCCTCCGAGGCGGACTGCCTAGGGTTCGAGCAAGAGAGAGAGGAGGCGGTGGGGAATGGATGGATTGAGTCGATCCAGTCAAACCGGCGCACAGGTATGGACAATCTGGGGGCAACACGGTCCATACGAATGTATGTAACCCCCTATACACCTGCATGTGGGCCAAACGTCGCGGCAAGTGTACATAATGGCACTCCGGTGTAATTATAATGGCACTCTTACACTAAGCTGAATAGTAATGGTATTTCTAAGAAACGCGAGAATTATAATTGCACCAATACAATTAACCATTTTATCTATGTGATTCTTGCACCTCGGGCAACAAGCTTCTTATTTTTATGTCTTCTTCTGTCATTCTGTTTAGCAAAATAGCATGTTTTTGTTTGTACCTCACCCTACTGTATTATTCTAACCTTCTTATTTTTGTGTCTTCTTCTGTCATTCTGGTTGGCAAAATGGCATGTTTCTTTTTGTACCTCTGCATTATTCTCTAGCACTCTTAAGACAGGCGTAAGATATGATATCCAAGTCCAACTATCCCTTCTCATTCCCAATGGTAACAGTTAACATGCATCTGCTGTTTTGCTTTTTCATTTGTTGTCAACAGTTATGAATTGTTTGTTCAAATTCTTGTTGCATTAAAACTTACTGCATCGGTTTTGTCATACCTGGCATATGATCAGTATCGGTTAGGTGAGGACACTGTTCACATTGAGGATGTCATCGATCTTGATGAGTTTGTTATGTTGAATTTCATGGTTGATCACTCCTTCCCACATATGCAAGCAGATGAGAATGGCCTTGTCTTTTACCCAAGAGAGACTGATCAGAGTCTGCACATTTATGTTGTCAGTGACAAGGCAAAGAAGTTTGTATTGTCACTGCTGGATGCTCTCCGGGAGAATGAGAGACATGGCATATGTTTTGGAGAGTTTGGGTGGAACAATCTATTGGTGAGCAGATCTCCTGGGAAAGCTAAGTCTCATGATGTGGCCTTGATCACAGATCTAGTTGGACCTGCACTGGATCACCAGCTTAGGCTTAACTACACCAATGCCCATACTGTCATTGCTCACCTATTCATGAATGATGTTCCTAATGATATAGGCGCTCTCTTGGATCTTATGCAGTATAATTTTGCGGAGAGATCACTGTTTTCTATCCATTGCTCATTGGTTTCCATGGCAAACCACTCTGGTCTCTTCAAGGAGCTCTTTGACACGCTTTTTAATGTTGTACCACCAGCTGAGCTGCATGATATTCTGCAAAGAATGAGAGCTATTTTCCTCTTACTCTTTTGCATTGGAGGGCATGGATAAACAGTAATGATCTTTTGATGGAGACCTTTAATTTTAATGGTGGACAAAGCTATGTCATTCCTCAGAATGCACCCAACCAGAGGAATCTCAGCAGAGATCAAAGGATTATGCTTGACCATTTGAGGATTAATACTGTGGGCAGGCAGATACTAACTGTACCAGAGCTTGAACTTATTGAGCCTCTACAGCTGTTACTCTTTCTCAGGAATCGTCCTGCGCACAGGATGGAGCATTATCAGAGATTTCTTACGGCCCATGCTGATCAGGATTTCAATAGCTTGGGTTTTGAACGCGTCACTCATGGTCGTTTTCCTTTGATCCCCGTGTTCCTTCAGTGGGAGCTACACTTGAGGGGTCACCTTTGGAGGATCCCTGCTCGTCAAATGTATGGCTGATTTGGAGAGAAGTTTATTTGAAATCTAACCTTGTGAACTGTTTGTGGTCTTAGTATTAATTCAGACTTTGCATGTGATGTGTGTTAAGTTGTTATTGAGGATGTCTCTATGTTGGACCCCTCTATTTATTTAGCTCTGGAAATTGTAACGTCTACTGGATGTCTCTATGTTAGTGGACACTTCTATTTATTTACCTCTGAAAATTGTAACGCGTACTATTTGTCATTTTGGTACTAGTGCATTTCCCTGTTGAGCTTGAATTGCTTTCCCCTTCTCCTTTTGTCTATGTGAATTCTTCTTCTGTTGTTGTTTGTTCTAGCCATTATCAATAAATCGCATGAATTGATGATTGATACCAATGGTGAGTTGTTTTTTCTCTACCGCATGCTACAATATGTGGTCCTTGAACTGTCGGAGTACATTAGAAAGGTATGTCTTTGGAGCTGTTTGCTTATTTGCAAATGATTCAAACATGCTATGTCATTTGATGTTTTTTGTGTACAGGAAAATCTTGAGCCCCTTACTGAATATGTTGCTGAGTCTTTTTGGGACCAACTTGTGAAGTCTGAACGATTGAAGAGTACTCAGGCCTTCAAACTTAAGTACCACCTCATGTCAACAAAATCTGATGTTCCAGAAAAGGCAAATAACTTATTTGCTCCTTGTTTTGCTTGTATGCAGTCACAACTTCTCACCAGTGGTAGTATAGTAGTATGCTTGTGCTTGAAGGTGGGGAGTTCTTTTCTTCCTCCCCTATGTACTTTCCCTTTCTTCTTAAGGAAATGATAACACAGATCACCTGTGTGTTTTAGAGAAAAAAAGAAGAGCAATACATTTCTATAGTTCTTGAAGTGCAATGCTGTTTAGAATGTGATTTTTTAGGAGTTCATAATAGGAATTGGAATGATAGTTAAGCGTATAGTTGGTTATAGTAAGGACAATTAAAGCACTAAGGGAAGCTCCAAGTCTTACAAAATTTCACTGTTATTGACATTCTGGTGGAGTTTGTTTCTCGATGGTAGAAAGCGAGGAGAAAAGTCCGACCTGGCAGACCCGGATCTTGAAACTAGGGATCGCCTACGCCTAAAAGACAGTATTGACAACCAGATGTTGTATACAGACACCCAGATCCCAAATATCTCTAGCAATGTTTTGGATACAGACAACCAGATGTTGCTGATATGGCAGCAGCCCCTACGACGAGCCTTACCGATCTCGCGGCGCCGGATCTCGCCGCCGCCGCCAAAGCTAACAGTCACCCAACCTAAAAACCCTAAATCTCGTGGCCCCGAATCTCGCAGCCAGCCCAACACCCAGCCTAAATACCCCCCCTAGAGAGCTACAGGTAAGAGGAAAGATGTGAGGAAGGGCGCGGCGCTTACCTGTGAGAAGACGGCGGGGAGCTTTCGTCGCCGTCACGGCGGTCGCCTCCGGCTAAGTGAGTGCGTTCGTCCGAGCGGAGGCGGTGAGGGAGTGAAAGAGGTGCGTGAGCGGTGGGAGGAAGGGAGTGAAAGCGGTGGTGTCGAGTTCATAAACCCGGGGTCCCTCGGGAACCGGCTTCAACGCCAGGGCTCGGAAGGACAGTCCGGTCGCCGATCGGAAAGTCTGCCCGAAAGAACGAACGCAAGCTCACCAACTTCTTCGACCCACCTCCGACCGGAGCGCTCGCTTCGAGCACCCGGCCGCCGCCTCTGGCGGTCTCTCCGTCGGAAGGCTCGCCTAAAAGCACGCCGCTTCCTACTCCGCCCGCATGACTCGGGACCGGGGACCCGTGGGAAGCTTCGCGCATGCTCTTCTCTCGATTGGCGGCAGGGGGCAGCTGGAGCCATCCGCCGGGGACGCCCGCTTCGGAAGGGACTAGGCAAACGGAGATGGATGGGCAACAGACTAAGTCAAACCACGATACCGGGACCATACCCCGTAAGCCTGCGGAAATAGTGCTCCACGACCGCCCTGACACAAGCAGTATTGACATTTGTGTCTACAGTATTGTGGGCGTCGTTGGGCTCCCATACGGCAAAAGGCCCCCCATGCCTCTGGGCATCGATAGGGGGCGCCAGGACCCACCATACCTGGTACACGTGGTGGGGCTCCTCACACCCAATGATATTTTTGCGGTACCAATGTCCACCCTTCCTGAAAAAGCCACCGCAACCTCCCACATGCACCTGACATTCTACAGCAACACCTACAGTGTTGTGGGCGCCTACCATTATCCACTCCTCATCGGCATGGGCATCAAGACTTCGTAAACATCCGTACTCTCTCCTCTCACCTGTAAAGCCATCCCCTTCTTCTATAAAAGGGGATGCGCTCCCTCCAACAGGAGGACGATCTTCTTCGAGTTTAGATTCACTAGACCGATAGCTCACAACCTCTCAAGCACACGCTTGAATACCTAGCTCATAGCGGAGTTCCGGCCGCCCTCGGCCCTTCCGGTCGGACCGACCAGGACCTCTCAGACACCCCTCATTTCTCCTTCTCGTTTGTAACCTCACTACTGACTTTTGAGCACAGGCTCGGGAATAAAGTCACCGATCGACCCAGACCGGACGTAGGGCACGTTGTTCGAACCAAGATATATATCCTGTGTCATTGAGTCTTTGGGCCACCTCCGATCACAACGCACAAACAAAACTACTAAAGATGGCAGCAGGCGGATTCGGATCGGGTGGAGTCTCCGCGAACCAAAACCAAAACCGAAAAGTAAAACCCTAATCCGCCCGAACCCCGATTCGGTGAAAATCCATCCCGAAAGCAAAAACCGCGGATCCCGAAACCCGACGGATTAATCAAACCCAGAAAATTACAACATATCAGCAGACATGAGCAATACAAAACATGATATATTAGCATAATAGCTTGCTGATTCCAAAAGTACTAGCAAGTAGAAGCAGGCTACCAGGTAGCCGATAGCCATGTCCAGATTCTAGAACCAGAAACATCAAACATGCAAGTTCAGTACAGATTGAGATACAGCAGCAGCTTGAGATCCACTTGTATCACCAGGAGTCGACATTGCTCACCCTTCCTGACAAATGAAAAAGGAACATACATTATTACATGGTCACATGACAAGATTGAGAAAATGGAACATACAGCAGCTTAAGATCTAGGGGAGGGATGTGTCGTCGTACCTGGCCTGTTGGATTCGCCGGCGAGGTCGGAACTCGGAAGGTCGGCGAGGCTGGCAAGGTCAGCGAGGACGCGGACTAGGGTCGCGGACCGATGAAGCGGCAAGGCCGGCGAGGGCGCCCGTCGAGGGCTCGCTGGCTCGGGGCGCCGGGTGGGAGCGGGCGTGCGGCCGCCGCCATGCAGGTCGAGACCGCCGCCGTCTGCGCCGTCGCTGCCGCATTATCTCATGATCTGGCGACCAGCGTCAATGATCCATGATCATGGACGGGCGGACTCGCCAATGCCGATCGCGATCAGCGGACTCATGGACTCATCATCTCTCAGATTCATGACGCGCCCATTGCGTCTCACGGACTCGCGGACTCACACGACCTTGACGCCTGTGCGGATGAGGGTCTGAGGGGTGAGGGTTCCTATTTCAGGCAATATATACTAGGGTTTCTTAGCTGGGCTTTTAGTGGGCTACATATTCGGGGCCCCGATGGAGTATCCACGGGTGAAAAATAGAGTCCGCCCCAAACCCGCAGAGTTTCGGGTATCCGAACCCGCAAATCCGTGGGCGAAAAACAGGCACCAAAACCGAGACCCGAGAACCCGAAACCCGCGGATATCCGCACCAAACCCGATCCGCTGCCATTTTTAAAAACTACAAATATTCACTAGTTGGTCACTTTCTGTACCGACAATCAGTATTCTCCATTTGCCAGCAAGCATTGGGCAATACAGGTTCCTCGTAAGATCAGCACAATACTATTGCAGTGGGTACAAAAATAATCATTTAGCTCCTTCTCGTATGTGTTTTTAGTCTTTACCATCCAAAGAGCATTTACTCTAGTGTGAGTATCTTTTAGGTCAATTATGTTCGTCAGAGGACAAAACTAACAAAAATGAAAAGCACAGACATCTAGGTAAGATGTGCTAGAGATTTCTTAATAATTGTGAATAGCTATACACTCACAACAAATAATCGACCGAATGTAGGCAATCGTAACTGTAGCCTTTTCTAAAAAAATCATAACTGTAGCCTCGTATAAAAAGGAGTTGACCAGCCATTAGGCTTATAATTCGTTGCAACCTCAGAAGTAAAAAAACTCCAGTAGCTATGATATTAATTTCTTCCCTCCGAGTATGAAGATCTAATGCTAATATTACAGACATTCACAGAGTTGACGAGCATTGATCCTTATTTATAGCACTTGTAATGTCAATTCACTTTGGCTTAGACCTTCAGTAATGCAACCGAGTTTCAAACTAAGACATTTGGGGAGGATTGACGGCTCACCGTAGGCCACGACGCAGGTAGAGGACGCTCGATGCAGGGAGAGTAGCTGCGGTGAGCAGCTTGGTTTCGGAACGGCTTCGACGTCGCAGTTATTCCTCAGTTCCTGCTCACCGACAACGTCCAGGCGGCTCACTGACCACTCCAATAATTGGCACTACAATGCTGAGAAAACAATGGCACGTTGCTGT